TTCATGGATTTTCGAGAAAGGCCTGCAACCTCGGTTTCAGGGAACATGATAGACCCAAGGTATGGGTGTGCCTCATGACTCATGGGTGTGCCAGGATCTTATTTCCAGTATCCCAGATGCTCACCCCAATTTGAAGGAACTCGCCGCGCCCTTTCAGATGCTTGCTCCGGTTTGGAGGACCCGATTTGGGACGACCCGCATACCCACATGATGAAGCAAAGGTTCCACCTTGAGAACCCTGGAGTTGTCGGCCCTGTATGATGCATTTGTAATACCATGACTTCAAGCCAGGAATCTTTGTGATTTGTGGGATGCTGTGGGACCACAAGAGGGGGTGGGCGCTGCTGGGGACCTCGTAAGATTCAGAGTCTGAATTCAGAGGCCATGGAGGATTCTTCTTTGCAACATGTTTCATCGATCGAATTCTTGGCACCTTCCTTAAATGTACATTATATGTTTGATCCCTTTTCCCTGTTCGTGTCCGGGAAGTACCACCAGAACATCCCTTTTGCCTTTCATGTCCCACGAATCGTTCGCTCACGGATCGTTTGCTCTCCGAGGTGCAACGGGTCCTGGACTCCTTGCGCCTCTCTGCAGATCTTCATGTTTCTTGGAGTGCATGGACCGTACGTCGACCCGATTCCTTCGCCGTACGAAAAGACCCCTCGGCGTTGGAGGGCGAAGTGTCGGAAGGCGTGTTGGAGGGCAAAAGGATGCAAAAGGGGAGCTTATTGCGTGTGTGTGTGTGTGTGTGTGTGTGTGTGTCCCACTTGGACCAAGCCAGTGCATGATTGGGTTAAGTTGGCAGTGTGTCATGGAACAATATGGATCCTTGAGCTTCAAAGGGGCTGCTGACGCAATGAATCAATGGTGCTGCTGGCGCTCCCCAAACAAGTTAACTCATCTCGCCTTGGGGATTCAATGTCATCCAAGTGACCCAACGACATATTTGTATGGTTGGATATATAATCATGTCCCACACGATATGACGGAAGCCTACATTCCTTGATCCCACATCAGTCTCACCCCATTTCTGATCAAATCCGTTCTGCCCGTCCAGAGGTGTGGAGTAAACCCTCCCTAAAAACATTCATTGGGCCGGAGAACGCATGGCATACCATGGCCCTCTGAGAAGACGACGACGGTTTCAGCTTGATGACATATTTGTTTTGAACCAACCGTCGGGTTTCCACAGTTTTCCCTGATGGAGTTCACATGGAGAAGTCAACAGTAAAGACTTGATTGAGCCATATTGAGCCAATGTTTTGATGTCTGGTTTCAGGCGCACATACGGAGTTGTTTTCACGCTAAAGCACCTTCCGTTCAATGCTGCTCCCTTGGTTCTTCGGATGCCTAGGAGGCTTGCTCGAAGATCTCTTCCGCGGAGATGGTGAGTCAGAAGGAGGCAGACCTGCAGACTGCAAATCGGGAAGTACAACACCGGCACGATGCAAAGATCTGGAAAGAACTGGCCATGTTTGTGTCTAAGAACTGTCTCAATGTTTGTGGCCATGACCTCGAGCACATGATAGTACATGAGTTGTCCTCACTTACAAATGAATAATATTGCAACATTGTACCACAACAGTCTCTGAACAGGACACTGCGAACCTTCCCATAGTGCGTGACCAACACTTTCTGATTCATAATTTTGATGAATTTGGGCACATTCCGGCCAATCCTATCTACTCAATTGAAAAAAAACAACAATATAATAACATCGAAATTGCACCCGGCCACCGGGAAGATCAAAATAGAACCAGGTTCCATGGGTCTCTTCGGCATACATCCACCGCATCTAAGACATGGGATTTCCTTTCGGAGGCGTGCATCCACCGCAGCAACCGCGGCACGGAGCTCTCGTGCCAACGCTGCGCCTTGTGCGGCGCGCCGTTCGGCGGTGCCGGCGGTGCCTGTGCTGAAGTTCGGGCGGGCCGTGGATCAGAGTCAGAGAAGCAGGTGTCGCAGAATTCGCCCCCACCCACGACCTGAATATCCCATATGTTGGGTTATTTGGGGGGATGAATCCCGGAAATCCAAGTGGATCATCTGCAGTTGGATAATTTTTGTTTGGGGGGACTGCTGGGACACCCCGCTAAAGACAAACGGGTGGATAAAGGGTATGGCCTTTATGATCCTTATGTTCTGTGTGAAACTGACAGAGTCAGGAATCAATCCCCTGAATACCTGGATCCGCATGCCCCCATGCCTGGATGCTTGTTTACAGTTTCAGTTTGTTATGTTTCTTCATCAGTCCACATGAGGTGCCTATAGTGGTGCCTATATATTGCTTTCGAGGAACTGTGTGTTTTCCATATGTCCCAACTAGACCTGTGGGCTGTGTGGAGATTCACTTGAATTGCTAGCGTAAGAAATATAATGTAGGTGGCATATTTTACGTAAGACTACAGCCTTCAGCGTTTGACTACCTGACTACCTCAATCTTTTGGAAGACCTCCTGCGGTCCATGTGGTCCGATGCTGAACTCTATAGCCGAGCAAACAATCCGCCATTTGCCCATGGTTGATTACAGTGCCCAGACACTCCATGTGTGCCATATATGCCGATCAGTTGGGGTGGTTTGGGGGGTCAATGTAGGCATATACGGCATACATGGAGTGTCTGGGGTAGGTTATTCAGTGCCATACGAAAATTCGGATGACATCCGCTGCTAGAGGACGATCGCAAAAGCACGGTTTAAACACCTCGTAGACTCGGCCGATCACATGATCCAAACATGGTACACATAATATGCATGTGTAAATATGTTTTAGGATAATATATAATATTTATAATATATATATATATATAAATATGTATTACTATATTCACATGGTTTCGACTACAGTCGAGTAATTTGAAGAAAAGACAACCGCTTTGCACGTGCAGAAACAACACATGATCAAGCTCATGAGGTTTGGCCTCCAACCAAAAGCACCGTAGAAATCGGTTGGCAGAGGCTGCAGAGGTTCGAAACTCAGACCATACAGGTAGGCGGCTTCGGACCTTCGAAGCGGGATGCCAAGACCTACCCTCAGAGAACCATGGAAGCTGAGCAGACCCTTAGCAAGCTTTAGCAGAACAGGGGTCTTCCAACATCTTCCAACCTCCAGTGGCCGATGTCCCACAAACAATGCCACTTCCATGATACACGTCTCAGGGAGTGTGTTTCACAGTTTCTCACTTTGGCTCCAGATGCATCACTAGGTGCCACTGGTGTCCTTCTCACGTCTTACGCATCGATCCAAAGCCCAAAGCCCGTGCTCTCCGTGTGACGCGTCCCCTTTGGCGTTCGCCGCGCGCGCCGCCCGTGCTCCCTGCCGTCGCCGCCGCGACCGGATCTGTGCTCCAGGCATCGTGATCGTGGGCCGAACGGTCTGGCACCAGCGCTGCCACCGAGCGTCCTAAGGGCCGTGCGAGAGAAAAAGCGTCCTAAGGGCCGAGCGTCCTAAGGGTCCTAAGGGCCGGCCGGCCGTCACCCGGGATCTTCCGGAGTGGCGCTGGACCGAAGGTTCCCGGGTGAGTACGAAGCGCGCGATCCATATAGATGTCGCCATGTCATGGTTCCACGAGGTGAAGGGAACATCCAAGGCTCCATTAACAACACCTGCTAGGGGGGTCTTACACCTGGGAAGATTAACATGGAATCTGAGAATGGAGCTTTTTAAGACTATTTGTCCTTTACAACCCAGTGGCTTTCAGGTGCCATGTTAATTTTGCAGGATGTAGTTTTCAAGATCATTCTTTTTGGGGGTGTTCATGCTTGGGGGAGAGGCATCCCTGGAGAACATTCCGTGAGACTTGGCTGGTGAACCGCTTCCTCAGCGTATTCGAGACCCACAGCTCAAGTGTTACAGTAACATCCCATTGGAGCCTTTTCACGGAACATGGGGGTACCCCCCTCCACCCAGCAACAATATATAAAAATATAAAACAATCCAACATCTTATACAACATTCATTGAAACATAGACGTTTGATGAATGAAGGAATACCGATGTGGCTTTACATCTCGATCTGGGCGGTGCGAAAGCTAGCCTCAGCTAGCTGGAGTCGCCCTTGCTTTAGCAAGGCAATGACAGGGTGGACCGCAGCCAAAGACCTCAAATCCTTGAATTTTGAGTACCCCCCCTCCGAGGGTTCAACTCCCCCCTGCGGGGTCCAATGCTCTCTTGGAGGTGGCCATGAGCTTCTCATGTCATCAAGCTGCCTCATGAGCACTTTCCCATACTAATGCCACTCATCATCAGCTGCTGCTGCTTGCTGTTTGTTGGCTTGCTTGCTTGCTTGCTTGCTGGCTGGCTGGCTGGGCTGGCTGGCTGGCTGGCTGGCTGGCTTGCTTGCTTGCTTGCTTGCTGCTGCTGCTGCTGCTCGGTTTGCTCCAACCACCGATTGCACCAAATCACAGTTTAAACCACCGTTTACACGAAGCCACGGCTTGCCCCAACCACCGTTTACACCAAACTACGGCTTACACCAAACTATTTGTTGCTTTGCTGCTGCTGCTGCGTTTGTTGCTTGCTGCTGCTGCTGCTGCTGCTCGGTGGTTTGCTACTGCTGTTGCTGCTTGTTGGTTTGCTGCTGCAGATGCTTGGTGGTTTGTTGGTGCTGCTGCTGTTTCTTGGCGCTCTGCTGCTGCCAAACTCTACGACCCTACGGTATTTACAATGGTTCTTCTTATCCAAGGAGAGAATAATCTCTATGGTGGCTCATGAGGTTGCCTTACCTACTCACCAGCTGATCACGAAAGCTAGCCTCAGCTAGCTGGAGCTGCTCTTGCTTCGCAGTGGCTAACATTCGTTCACCCCCCCTGGCCTCAAGTTCAATGACCAGTTCCATCCAGTTCCTATTTGGGCGTGTATTTTGCACAATAATAGGCAGATTCCCCAACCCAATGGGTCTTGGGTCTATTTCCCAAACCTTTCAGGGGGTCGTTGCTTGGGAGGTCCTCCCTGTTTCCGATCCCTTTCGGCATGTGTCATTCCAAGAACTCAGCTCGAGGTGGATGAGCTGCACCTGGCCCTGGACTGGCAGGGCTTCGCGGTTGATCCTGTGGCTGCGAGCTGAGTGGGGCGGCGCGAGTGGGGCGGCGCTCAACGGATGGGAGGAGTCGGAGTCAGCTTCCAAAATCCGATGGTGATGGTTTCGGCAAAAAAAACAATAGCCTGGTCGAAGAAGGCCATGAACCGAAGAGCAAACAAGTGCTTGTCCGTATGATGTGTTCGTTCTTGTGATGACCTTCTAGGCCCTAGTAGGCGAAAACCCCATGCGTTCCCCCTAGCAATACCACGTTTGATGGTTGGTCAGCTTGCATGAGCTGGCCATGAATGTGCACATGCCGTGGCAGCCGCAACTGCTGTTTTTTGGTGTGTCATGTGGGCCAACTGGACTCTTTGGACCAATGAAGGGCACCAAAGTGGAGGGAAAGGCATAGACGGCCGGGTTTGTGCATGTATATTTATGCGAATGGAAGTGCAGCGACACGTACAGTGCAACTTGTACATATATATGTACCATATGTACTTTGGCTCAAGGATCAAGCGACTAGAAAAGGTGCGGTTTCCGTTCCGACGCTACGCCGCTTATGGACCGTCAGTGATAGCTTCAAACTTCGCTGATTAAGATCCACTCGCAGGTTATCAGCCGTACGCGCTCTTTATAGCCGTACGAGCTACACGAGACCAAGAACAAGACTAGTCATTACAGAAACCTGCAATGTCAAGCTCAGGAGGAAATGGAAGCGAACCCTATTCATTCGCTGCTCCTGGTGGTCCCAACACCATTTCGTCACCAGACTCTACAATGGGTACTGATTCATCAGCAAATGCTGACGTTATCACTATGCCTACTGGATCACAAATCTCGGAAAGATCCGTGCCACCGGCTCGGAATCTGACCGATCTTGCACCCGTAGGACCAAGAAGATCGATGAGAGCTACAACAAGATCTACATCGCCTATAACGTCTACCGCGAGATCCCCAAGAAGGAGTATAGAGAAGAGACGTGACGATGATAGAGGAACAAAAGAGCAAAGAAGAGAGATTCAGCTGGGTGAAGAATTGAGATCGGCGAGAAACGCATACAATTTTCTTCATGAAGAATATGAATGCATCCAAGCCGGATACTCACGACTACACCACGAGGCTGAAGTGGAGTTCAGGCAAATGTCTGACTACAACAGGAAGATGCAGGAACATCTACAAGAGATGACACAGGAAGATGAAGGAGCGACAATAAGAATTGAAGAGCTCGAACACAAGCTACGCTTGGCGGAATCGACAGCTGAACATATCTACATGAGATATCAAGAGCTTGCACAAGAAACTCATCAAGAACATTCAGAGCTTGAATCTGTGAAAGCAACGAAGGACAGAATGTCCCAAGAGCTTCAAGCAGCAATTGGACACATCCAAGAACAGAATGAATCTTCATTGGCGATCAATAGAAGATCAAAAGCCATTCAGGATGAGAACACAGCCTTCGTCGGAATAGCTGACCAGATACAAGCTAGAATGATTGCGCTACAGGATGAGAATGTCAACATGCACGAGGTGATCCAACACCAGAGAGAAGAACAATGGAACAGTGAGGTAAGGGAAAGACGTCTTCAACACAGTGTTCACTCATCTCAAGATCAGAGCAATCAGGAAGCTATGGTTATTGATCATCTACGAGGTCAACTAGCTATGGCACGTGGAGCTGAACTCAACGCGAGAGCGGAGATAGGAGAGATGGAAGTGGGCATGAGGATGGAGATGTTTATATGCCAGACTGAAGTCTCTGCTAAAGAAATGGCAGAAATGAAGGCGAGCCACCATGAATACGAAGCAAACGTCGCAAAGGAGGTTATCGCAAAAGGAGAAATATTCAACAACGAAGTCCTAGAAAGTTCCATCCGTGAACGACAACAATTGAAAGACGTCAACCTCGCTCTATCCGAAGCCAACGCACAGCTGAAAAGAGAGAATATGATGAGAGCTCCTATGTTCGGCGATGATGGTGCTGAAATTCAACAGAAGATCAGAGAACTGGAGAATGCACTATTGGAAAGCCAGAAGGAGACAAAGAATGTCATTATGGAAAATGCGAAATTAAAAGCAGAAGCACGAATGGCACCCATAGTCTCTCGGTACAGCAAGCGTCCTAGTTCCAGAGACCGCGGGTTACCAACCCACGCGTCCGAGGAAGATGAGATTCGGAACGCAAAAGAGGAGGCGAAGCACTACAAGGACGGGTACAATGAAATGACAGAGAGCCGAGATGAGATGTATGAATGGTATGCAGAAACCCACAATGAGTACGCCGAGGAAAGGGAGAAATCAATTGAGCTATCTGAGGCGAACAAATCATTGAGGGACAAGATTTCAGAAGCAGAAGCATCCTCTTCATCTCATCTTACACCGGCAACCTCTACAATCATGAAAGTATCGAGGAAGGAAGAATCAAAGATAAACGTTCCGTCATGGCCCAGGATCAATGATCTTGGACTATGGAAGGCAAATCTCATTCAATCGATCATCATTGCGGCCAATGATTCAAATCAAGAGCCCTGGATCGACTGGATCAAAGAAGCCATGGACGATCCTGATCCGGACAAGTTTGTCGACTCAGGAGACCAAAGATTCCATTCAATCGATGCCAAACTCGGCCTAGCTCTTACCAAGGTCGTCATGGATGCGAAAGATGATGGTTCAGGTGTAGCTATGAAGTTGAGGACGAGGATCAATGCAAAAGGGAGAACATCAAGCCTCATAAAGGGAAGAGAGGTCCTAGCCCTGATCCTTATGAATTTCAAGACAACATCAAATGTGGAAGTCTTATATACTTCAATGCACCTCTACCAACTAGAATACCAAGGAGACAAGAACTTATCGTTGTTCTTCCACACTTGGGATGAGATTCTGGCAGGAATGAAGCCCGTTGACGTCCCGAGCGACGAAACTCTTCGGGATCTCCTATGGAGAAAGATCAGGAACTCAAACCTCATGGCATACGACATCAGCGCCTACAACAGCATGAACGACGATGATGCCAAGAAGACATACAAACATCTACGTGATATGATCAGAAGGCACATCGAACGGCAAACTGAAGACAGGATGATCCTGGAAAAGGAGAAGGCAGTGAAGAATGTGGCCAATATCTTTCAGAATCTCAAACCAGGCGGACCTGCTCCAAAACTGAAAGCTGCACCAGCTGATCCGAAGAAGAAACCAAAAGGGCAACAAGAACAGGTTGTCTCAGAAGACGCTGCTGCAGTGAAGCCGAAACCCAATCCCAAGAAGCATCCTGAAGACAAGAACAAAAAGGGAAAGGGGAAAGGCAAAGGTGATGGAAAAGATCGCAGCCGAAGTCCGAGTACAGACAAGAAGAAGATACCATGCAAATTCTTCGTGAAAGGTAACTGCACTATGGGGAAAGATTGCCTATTCAGTCACAAGAAACCCAGATCACCATCCAGAGGATCTTCTGTCGGAAAGAATGACAAGCGAGTATGTTGGATGTGGATTCGAGGAACTTGTGACAAAGGGAAGGATTGCAAGTTCTACCATGACCCAAAAGCCTCTCCTAAGAAAGGGATATCTGCACCAGCTGACTCAGGAGACGATAGGCCAAAGCCCAAGGCAAAACCCAAACCGAAGCCTAAGGCGAAGCCTGGAGCCCCAGCCATTGACGGTGAACTCTTCATGGACGAATCCGAAGATGAAGGGATTGCTGCATCCGCCAAGGCAAGAGAAGGAGGTGCAAAAGTATCCTTTGATGAAGAGACTTGTGAGATCATGTTGAACGAAGCGATCTACTCAGTCAGGGACAAATGGAAGGTAGTAGAAAAGAAACCTCTACGTCCGGACATCAAACGATACGATGAGAAAGAGCTCACCTGCTACACGAGGAAAGAACAAATCAGATTTGAAGAAAAGGTCGCAGAGGCGAGAGGCATACTGATGGTCCCCTACACTGAGATCAAGAGGGTCCGAATACCAGTTGGACCAAAGGGTGACCTATCGGTCACTATGTCTTTTGACGAAGATGACGGCCTAGTTTTCCATCATAAAGTCATTCCTCATGTATGCGAGGGAAAGAAAGATCATGCAGACACAAAGACATTGTCTATTCCAGCCAAAGGGTCAAGAACGAAGTTCATCATGGACACAGGATGTGGGTATGATTTGATATCGAAAGGCAGAGCCAAGAAATTAGGTCTGGAAGTGAGAGAAAGCGACCAATCAATGTCATTCTATACCGCGAATGGAGTGACATCCACAAAAGGAGTCGCCGACATTCATTTCGACGAATTTGACTCTACCTACTCCCCATTCGTCCTAGATGAGTCTCCTTCAGTACTGTCTGTTGGAAAGAAATGCATGGAGGAAGGATACACATTCATATGGCCAGCCTGCGGCAACCCGTACATGGTTTCCCCGAACTACAAGAAAATCATGTTAGAAGTAGAGGGAAACATCCCATATATTGTCAAGGGCAGTGACTTCTGTACTCCCACCGACGATACAAGGGCGGAGATGATCGCAAGGTTCACCCTAGGAGAAGATGAAGCTGATTACCAATCGACTTTCATCAACTGTGATGTGGATCCTCAAGGAATCATGTGTGATGATGACGACCTTCCTGTGATTGAGCCTCCAAAAGTCAAAAGGCGAAAGAGGAATAAGAAGTTCAAGGCATCTCCGGGAGAAGAAGATGAGGTAGGATCAGATGTCGCCGGAGACAGTGAACCAGAAGCTGACGATGATGATGCAGACGACATCGAGGTGGATGTTGTTGACGGTGCAAGTAGAATGGTGAGAAGAGGAACTCTGAAAGCAGATGCCAGGAAAATCGAGCATCTACTCACACATCGTTACAAGAATCCCTACTGTGAGTCATGCATCAGAGCAAAGATGAAACACTTCAAGACGCATCGAGGAGCGTTCAAGAGAAAGCTCAAAGCTTTTGGAGATCTGGTTACCTTTGATTTTGTCGATACGAGGAACATCCTTGATCAAGGGATCAGTACTGATCGAGAGATCTTCGTCATTCGTGACAGGTACACAGG